AAGCACTTCTAGAAGTGTATCTTAGTATGGGAACTGTCCTTTAGAAATGCCTGTTTTGAGCCTGTTTCTTGCTTGTCTAAAAATGAGCCTTGGTGACTAGCTCTGACATGGATGACTAACATCAGGGGGTTGAATCTCTTCTTGTGGTTTCCCTGTTTTCCCTTCATTGCTCATTCTTCTCAACTCTTTCCATAAGTGGAGTTTAAACAGCCTAGTTTCTCACACTGCTCCAGTTCTGAGAATCCTGACTTCTTGAGCAAAATCATCCTTTTGTGTTTTTTTGCTAGCTCTCATTGCAGAAATAAATAAAACACCTAAAACAAATTACCCCACTCCCAAATAAGATCATCCAAGCAAGCCAGCAGGATGTATCACCCTGAGAGTTCGTACTGGAGAGTTACAACAGCGTGGAGACATTCTTCATATGCAACACTGTGTGTGCAAGCATGTGTGCATAACTCCTTCCTTTCCAGCTCTGTAGTTCTGACTGTGTTTTCTGCCATGTTGCACATGCTTGTGGCATACAATCTGACATCAGGGATAAAATCCCTCTTTACGGGGCTTGTTGCTTATCTTGGAAACAATGCTGGAGTTAAATGAAATGTTGTAAGTGTTCTTAGAAGAAGCAGCATTCTGCCTATGTTATGTAATATCCTTATGATTCAGAGTTGTGCTGAGCAAGACAAGCATGAGTTAAGGTTTTGTTTTGGCCTTTGGTGGAATAAAGTTATATATCACTTGAGCTGCCAAGGTCTTTCCTCTCACTGATTGTATGTTCTTGGTAAAATACAGGACTGTGCTGGTGGATGTGATACATCTGATGCTACAGTCCTTGAGTATGGAGAATTGTGGTGCTGTTTGGATAAATATTTGCTATTTACCATCTTGATGTATGGCCTTTTCTTTTTTTAATGATAGATCCAACTAGGTTCCTGAGTGTAGCCAGATTTTCCTCAGTGCTCAGTACCCATTCTCAAAGACTACACCTATACTGCTGAGCTGGGTTGACGTTAAAGCCAGGTGTGAAAGCAGAGCTGCTCTTGGATCCTGCTAGTGTGACCAGGCTGATACTTTCAGAACAATGCTGTAGGTTCTTCCTCAGGCCTGAGAGCACATCAGAATTTATATTTATTTACATGCAATGCTGACCCCTTCACCTTTGTAAATCCCATCTGTGCTGTGGCAGTGTTGCATGCCAGTATGTGGGCAAGCAGGAATTCTAGGGTCATGCCAGTTGTCTGCTGCAAGGGTTGATGAGATTCATAAGCATCATTCAGATGGGCTCAGTAGGGAACGTGAACATTGTGTGTTTGTTCTCAAAAGCACTGGAGCTTTCAGGAGGCTCCTCGAACCTGTCCGCTGAAACAGGTGCAGAGGTTGCTGGGGTCATCTGAGTGCTGTAACTGTGTTTACTGAAGTACCTCTGTGGTAGATGCAGGATTCTGAGTTTATTTTCATATTAAAAAATGAGTTTTGTCACCCTTCCCTTGAGCCAGGACTTTGTCTTTGTGTTTTGGGTCTTGCTTCTGAATTCCTCCTTAGTCAAGTCCTCTGTGTGCCACACTTCAGCTGTGTTAAGGCACAAGACCAGCCCATAAAAACATAAAGGCCCATAACAGTCTTAATTTTTAATTTATCAGAGCAGGTGAAATAGCACAAGGAGGTTGCAGAAAGGGTGTACCCTCACCGTACACGCTCGTGGTACACTGAAGCCCATCCCTCTTGAACCATTGTGTTGGAGTGCTCTGGGAGGTGGAGATGCCAGAGATTACTTGTCACTAGAGACAGAACAAAGCTTTAAAAAGGGAAAATCTTGGCAGCAAACAAAACTAATTTCTTTCCATTTCTTAGTGTTCAGCCTTTAGGACAAATTAATCTCTATTGAAATCTTCTGAACTTGCTACTAAATTTGTTGTCTCTTTTAAAAGCATCTCTTCTCCTGTGAAGGTAGATAAACAGAAGGTGTGTGTATATATATATAAATTCAATTTTAACGCATACTGAAAAACTCTTTATTGTATGTTTTATTTGGTAATTCAACATTAACCTTTACATTTGCATCTGTAAATAATACTATAAAAGTCAGCTGGGCCAGAAAGACCTTTCAGGAATTTGTTATATAGCTTTAAGGCTCAATCATCTGGTTAAAATTCAAAGTGGATGCCTAGAATAAGTAGGTGAATAAATAAAAGTTCTTTAACTGAATAATATCCTCCTTATCTCTTTATCTGAAATCACCTAAAGGCTGCAAGTTCAATTTAATTGTTCTACCATCACTCAGTCTGAGCTTTAATGGAAAGAAGGGGGGGAGAGAAAATTACTCAGTAGCTGGTCTCTGGTTTTTAACTTGATAGAGAGAAGGATGCTCCCTGAATGAAGCACTGTGGGAGAGGTGAGTAGTTAGAAAGAGATTGTGCTTCATGTCACTGAGCTATCTACAGATACTGCTGTTATGCAGCTGCAAAAGAAAATGAAATGCTAGGGGCAAAAGATAAAAGAGAATCTAAGGAAATGGATGTATTTTGCTAATCCTTTCCTCTCATGGTGAGAATGGTTAATCCGTTGCAGAATACAATAAGGATGCTAGTCCGACTTGCACTTTCTTGTGAACGGGAGTTAACTGAGGCTGAGCTGCCTGGAGCCTGTGATTTATAGAGCACCATGGCTCAATCTGCAAGTTGTACTTGCGGTCGGGAAGTGGAAAGGATAGCGAAGTTGTTTGATGCACCTGGTGCCACTCAGTCTGTGTGCAGAGGTCCTTGTATGTGTAAAACTGTGTCAAATGACTCAAGGAACATTTCTGGCAGGTACCGTGCTAGCTTCAAGGCAGACTTGTAGCACTGTAGAGTTTTGACTCTAGGAGTGTGGATTTTCAATTATTGCTTCTAAAAGTCATGATGTTCCTTCAGAAGGAAGGATATGATACTGTTTGAATAAACATTTGCGATTTATCTTCTTGGTGTATGGCCTTAATGTTGACTTCATAAGCCTGTCCTCAAATGTAGAGAAGGAATTTTATTTTCCTGCCTTCTTTAATTAAAAAAGATAAGCAATGTTTTATTTATTTATTTATTTATTTATTTTTATATTCCTTTTGGGACAGAGGATTCTCTACTGTGTTTTTTCAGACTGTCACTGTGATTGGTTGACCAGAAAAGCAAAGAAGGCCAGACAATGTGGGCTTTTAGTGCAGTGTCTTACCTTATCTAGTGACAGTGCCAAAGCAATATTGCCAAATCAGAATATTCAGATCATGTCTGATCTCCTGAAGAACATGGGGAGAAGGTCTTTTCTTACCACAAGCCCAGTGATGTTGGCTGAAGTCTGCATAACTGGAGCCCATTTTGATGTGAAGATAGGAGGATGCCTGCTTCCACCTCTTTATCCCTCGTGTTTTTTTCACTGGCAGCTTGGGCTGTCATTAGCAGAAACTAGACTTCCTGTTGGGATAAATGCAAAGGGAAGATTTTTTTTTTTTTTTTTTTTTTTTTTTTTTGTCTTTACACGTACCAATTGTATTAGATACTTGATGGGGTCTGAATTTCAGTTTTTGAGTTTCCTTTGCTAGCTATATAGTGGTTTGTTTGTGTAGTTGAGTACAAACATACTAAGAATTAATCAACTGCCTCAGGCTTTGGACACTGCTCAAACAGCCCTTTCCAGTCACCTTTGTACATTGTTCTATGATCCAGCTCTGATGTGGCTGCTGGATCTCTGTGGTTAAAGATACTGCCCATTCAAAAAAGTTCAATATTCAGTGCAAGCAAATGTAGTTTATCTTCCCAGTCACACTTAGCTAGCTATCATATCTGTGCCATAGTACACAACACTAGGTTGTGAACCCTTCTAATCTGAACGTGGACCTGCCTCTGATTTGTAAATCCAATTACTCAAAATCAAATGCAGGACCTTTACCCAAATGAGATAGTTTTCCAGGACCTAAATTTGGCTATTGCAAACATTTAAGTTTTCCAGCTCTGTTATCTACCTCCTTAGCCTGCAATCAACACTTATTAAGCCAGAATTTATTTCAGGTTAAATTTATTTGGAATCCTGTTCAAAACGCTGCCTGCTATTTATTTCTCTGTGATCTAGTTGTAAAACAGAGTAGTTCTTTCTCAAAGTATATTTTTTTTCCTGAAGAACTGAACTTGCTCAAAGTTGTAGAAAAGGAGCTTACATATGCTTTGATTATGAGCGAGTGGATTGTGGGTAGTAAACTAATTATATGGAGAATAGTGTTTGTTGTATTAAGTACCTGGTACTGTGGTATGTATGAAGCAAACCTATGTCTGTGGCTTAGTGTGGAGTTGCTTGGAAATTTGGTTACGTTACAACTGCGCCATTTGTTAGACAGAAAGACTCAAAACAATTATTAGATTGAAAATTTGGCTTTCAAGATGAGCCACTTCACTATCTTTAATGTTTAACTAATGAATAGATTGATTTCTAACTTATCTCAAAATTTAGACCTTGTTCTGAACATAGAAGTTGTAAATTAGGAGCGATTTCCTTTTCTTTCCCACACAGAAAAGAGATGTAATCCACACCATAAAAACTAATCATAGGATGACCTTGAGTACAGAGTCACTACCTACCATATCATAGTCATGTTAACTAATTTGTTTCTCATTCTATTTAATGTTAGGAATTTACATGTCATCAATCTCCTGCTTCCTGTTGGGCTGAAAAAGCCGGGGGACTGCCAGCTTCGTATAGCAGTCAAAGCAAACCTGTCGACAGCTGAAATCAGGAAGCACAAAAGTGTTTTAAAAGGTGTTTGAAGAGGCAATGTGCTTTTGAGTCTCAGGAGCTCAGTCTTGGCTAAACGTGAGGGGAGGAGATTACTTTGTTAGCTTTCCCTGGCAGTGAGGCTGATGATAATTGTGCAGGACAATCCATTCCTGTTCTTTCATCGGAGCAGATTTTAATACTTTGTTTAATGTTGGTCCTTCTTCTTTTTCATGAAAGTTTATACTTCTTCTCTCTCTGTCTTTCAGCTGTACAGCTCCATGGACTTTGGAAGGAAATGGCATCTCATGCAGGAGCGGATCACTCCAAACAGGTTTTACTGGTGAGTTGTACCCTCAGGCTTTGCTTGGCTTGGGCAGGTCATGGAGGGGAGAAGGGCATCTAACTTGAAGAGACTGGTTGCTTTACCTGAACATTAAGTGTACTCTTGCTTTTGGTCATCATCAATGTTACATACTCAGTCCACAGTAGGTATCTTTCAGTGCTGTAGTCTCCATGTTTGTACCCTTTTCTTGTCTGATAACAGTGCTGTCTTGTACAAGTGTGTACAAGTCTCTTGATAATTGCAAAACTCCTGCTTCTTTGTTATATATCTACTTCCAGTAACACAGAGAAACTGCCCAGTGCTTCAATTACAAAGCTATGATAATTAGACCTCCTATTTTTCAACCCCTCTGAGAGCTACTTTAGACTACACCACAGTCTTCGTGCAAAGCCAGCCGCTCTGACCAGTCTCCTCATGCAACCATTGGGAGAATGGGTGAATTAGATTCTGCTTTGAATCACTCTCTGAGGAGCCAGTTTCTTTCTGCTAACTGGTGAGAGCCCAGGATCTGCAAACAGTTTGCTAAAAATCTGCTTTGTGACTATCTTCCTTTCCATTTCCCAAGCGTCAGCCTCCAAAATTGGGAGAGTGTCTTAAAAGCAGATGATGAAACAAATTTAGTTCCTATCTCCAGGCTCCTCTGTTTCAGATGCTGCTTTTCCAAACTTCTCTTCACCATGTAAAGGCCCAATAATTGACTCTAGAGAGAAAGAAAAAACTCAGCAATATTCTTCTGTAGTCAAATCTGGGATTTGGGGCTTGAATCAGATTCTTAGCGCTGCATGCCAGATGATGGTGTGTGTGTGAATCTGTAAAGGTGCTCATTTACAGAATCTGTGGAAAGTTAAAAGAAGTGCCTGGTGCTTAAGGCCAAAAAAGACCTTCATGTTAAGGAACCAGAGGCTCTTATTTTAAATGGTTAAAAATAAAAAAGGATTTTGATGACTTAAAAATTGACTCCCAATTGCAAAGCATGATGTATATCTCTTAGAGTCAAATTCTCATAGAAATTCTGGTGCGTCATTAAAGGTACCTGCAATCCAGGCCCTAAATACCTATAGTCTGTATTTGCAATATTTTCACACCTTGTGGTGGAGATAGACACCTCATGGGATTTTCAAATTGTCTAGGTCCTTCTGCAAATCTCTCTAAACAGCTTTAGACTCCCACATGCTAGACGTGGCTCTTTGGCACCAAGTCTGGAGATTTCCCGTAGTTTACCTGTGGATTTTAGACAGTGTAAGATCCTAAATCACACTGACCTGAAAAATGTATCAAAGACCTAGAACCTTGTCTGACCATGTTACTGTTTCACATTTCTGTAGTGAATTAAAAGTGGTTACAGTCTCCTGGTTCTGGTGGCACGCGGTTGATAGATTTCGCTATCCAAAATCCTTTTATTTCACTATTCGTGCTAGGTGCACATGACAAAGGTGAGTGTAGATCCTCTCCAGGTGTATTATTCTGTAGAGTAGAATGCCTGGTCCTATGGGATAGTTGTACCCTACCCTTCAAATAGCACGTTTGAGCTTAGGGGGGAGAGGCTTTCTTGGAGGATAAAGTGCAAGGGCTGAGCTGACTTGGGAACAAAGTGTAATCTCTTTCTAAGGGAGAGGCTGTGGTGTTGTGATTTATTTTCTACTTTTGTATAATAATGGTTGATGGAAGTTGCCTGTTTGTCTCTGTCCATTTGACACCCAAACCTGTATTTTGTTTTACACAATATACCTATTTTTTCATACAGACTTTTGGTTGCATAATAAAGCCTCTTTCCAGTGTCTCTTTCTCTTAGAAAACGTGGAAGTCTTCTGTAGTTAAAACTCATATGGCATAGACCTAGAAATCTTTATTCCACTCAGAAACAGTAGAATCCCATTGACAATAAACTTTCCAAGAGAGTCAATTAGGTTTTTCCCAGAGTGAGAGAGATTTGAACCAATCCATAGTGCAGGGGTCAGAGGTGTTGAAATTTTGGAGCATAATAACTCCCCTTAGCTGTCTGATTTCTTTCTTTTTTCCTTTATTTCTTTTTAAGGCTGCAAACTGTGATGGCTTGATGTGTACAGAAAAAGAAATGTAAGGAGAACACTTCAGCTTCGGGTATTTGGCGATTTATTTTTATTAGGCTATGAAAGATGGAAAAAGTGGGTATAGCTGTAAGTTTCAGAGAGACATGAACCACTACTCTTTAGAGTTCATCAGCCTATCAATACTACATTATGTAACCTCTTAATTAAAACTTCCATGAAAGGTGAAATAATAATGGCAAGGAGATGCCAAAATCAGAGGTAGCTGCTCATTTGTGCTTCTCTGCATTGTTTATTATTAGAGGCTCAGGTGATCATCCTTCATCAAATGGGACTGTCTTCATCTGATTTGAATGCAGCTGGCTTTATCTGGGGCAACCTTTGTCGAATATTTTTGCTTTCAAAGCATGACTTTCATCTCTCAGGCTGCTGTGAATGGGCTTGTGAAGACTAATCATCACGTGGTTTATGGGACCAGTCAGCCTGACAGAGAGAGGTCTTATTTTTCTCTCCAAGACCTTTTCAAGTAATTATAATGTCCCTGAGAGAGCTCAGATATGGAGACTTTAAGGCCAGGAGAAAATTACGGTTGCATCAGAACTCATGAGGCTAGGATGTGAATTTTCACTCAGCAGAGTGAGCAAGACCTCTCTGTTAGTCATGGACACAGAAGTCATTCTGTGCATTTTGCTGTAGCTCTCTCAGGCAGCACTTGTGATGGCTCCCCAGTGGTCACAAACAGTCCTAAGCTTCAGTCCCGATCTGTGGCTTTGTATCCTGGCTCTTGCCTTCAGCTTCCTTAGTCCCAGATGTTGGTGCTAATCGCTGGCTTGTAGTTTTGTGTTCTAATCCCATATGGATAGCATGTGTCCTACAGTTGGTGGGACATCTCTCATCAGTTCCTGTGGCCAGCTCAAAGTCTATGCATGAGCTGAGATTCACCTCTGGGCCACTCATATTTGTAAAAACTAGGATTTGAGAGCTCTACTTCTGTAGTAGTGATTCATTTGTTAGCTACACCACCCACTGATGACAGTGGCAGAGCTTGAACAGAATGTGTTACTTGATGTGAGTATAGGCATTCAAATTTGGCTCCCACATGCCTTGGCCTCAGAGATTTTAATAACTTAGGATTCTGTAAGGCTGGAAATAGGAGCTTACGCTAATGTGATACAGAAATTCCCAGATCACTCATCACTCACAAATCAGTCAGGATAACTGGAACCAGCATGGGTGCAAAGTTTGTTAAAGACCTACTTAATGTTCTTTTCTTTTAAAACACATTTCTGCAGCTCCCTCTGGGCTCTGTTCATTTTTTCTCGCTGTAACTTAGACAACTGTGCTGTCATGTGGAGGGATGTAAAAAATACAGCCCATATTTTGTACTGTAGAAATGTTCAGGAAGTTTCCTCGTCTGTAAAACACATGGTGTGTTCTGAGCTGACTAGGTACTGTCTCTGTTCCTTAAGTTGCTTTGCTGCCTCTGCCTTTTCCTATGGTGGGACAAGACTAAGCAGATGGGTGGGACAGTTTGATTAATGGAGCATTCACCAAGCCTTGTTCAGCACTTTGCTTGACCACCGCTTTTCCATGTCATCTTGGGTGACTGAAGTTGACACTGCTTTGTTACCCACAAAGTAAGACTGGGATAGGAGAGCATTTCTTTTCCTTGTTGGGTGTGGTGGGTGAAGTACTCAGATATTGTGGTACCAGGTGCTACAGCAGTGGATTAAGAGGGTGAAGGGCACTAGAGAGTTAAAAGATGCTTTAGTGACGTATTAAGTCCTTTTATGATCTTATGGCTTAAGTCTTTAAAATGTGGAGTTCCACAAGGTGACCCATGTTTTCTGGCTAATCATCTAAAAGGCTGTGAATATTATCCCCTGCCCACCAGTCTTTGGAGACCCTGTCTAGGTTTGCTGAGCAGACACAGGGATCTCCATCTTTTGCAGAGGACAGAGCTATATTCCTTGGGACACCCACCCCCTTTCTTAGGGTCTCCCCAGCCTGTTCTTTGCTGGGGGACTCATTCACGTTTCCTGCCTCCTGTCATCCCTGGGGAACATGAAGCGGTGGATGTGGGACCATTTTCCATTTTTTTTTGCCTGGCACATCTAGACATTTACCCTTCTCTCTATTTTCTTGAACATGTTCTCTGGGACTTTGGGTGATTCTGCCAAAGCCTGGGAGTAGAAAAGTGGGGAAAACCCATTTATGGGGAAGAGAGGGAGAAATCCACACAGCATTTCTGATGGCTACAGGGATATTTGGAGCACTGAAGTAAGTGCCCAGTATTGAGCCTAGTCAGTAAAAGGCACTGATATACACATTAGTGATGAAAGCTGGGCAGAAAACAGCAGCAAGATGGGAGAGGAGAGATAGCAGGAGGAGGAAAATAGGATGTGCACTAGCCCGGCTTCAAGGAACAGTGCTTGTGTCTACAGACAGGAATAATGTGGTGTGACAAGCAGCTCTCAAATACACTGCTGATTCCTTCACTGAGTCCCCATAGAATTTTATTTTTTCTCTTTCTGTGGTAACCACTCAAGTTTCTGGTTGTTTTGGTATCCATGGATGCCAGCCACAGTAGTTTTGAATGCCAGGGACTAAAAATCAGGAGACAGGAACAGACTATGGTTATACTGGGAGAAGGGAAGAGGCTGTGCATCCCCTTAGGCTATGCTTTGGAGTTACTGCTTTTCTGCCACAGTTGTTTGAGGCATGAGCCAGCAAATTTTGTGTCTTGAGGGCAAGGTTTTCAGTCCTTTTGGTCATGATTTTGGATAGGAACAGTGACCAATTTTAGCCAGTGTATTTCTATTTATTTGCAGCTTGAATTTCATGAAGACTAAGCAGAGTTTGGTTTGGATATCTGAGAGTAATGTAGCAGAAGGTAAGGGATTTAACTCAGTGTTTCAAAAGGTTATGAGCTGGGCTTGGATCTGCAGTTGGGCAGAGGTTTGTGTCTGT